ATTGGAGGACAAAGCATAAACATGAACAACATCAGAAGGAAGAGGCTTCCTGGCAGCAGGTAGCGCCGAGGAGGAGTTGTAAGTGCAGAGAGCAGAAGAGAGCTTTCAAGTGGAGCTTGTGAGTGTGGATGATAGGGGCTGCAATGTGGTGGGAGAAGCACGGGAGGGAGGGTCCTGATTCTAATCTGTATTTAAAATTTTATTTATTTTCACTGGTTACCATCTAGGCTCATATGATGCTATTCATAATTCAAAAGTGTTCGAGTGAAATGTCCCAAATGGTATACTGTAAGAATTTACAGTTGATAATCATTTTTAAAGATTGGACTGCAACTTTATTTTCTTTTAAAAATCAAGAGAAATAGAAGTATGTCTACAGAAATTTAAGAAAAAGAAATTGTTATACAGAGTTGTATTCCCTGGCCTGGAATAGGGATTTACTTCATTCCAAATACGATCACATCAGTCCTTCTGTAGAGAAAATTTAACTTGAGATTGGAGAAGTTTTATGTGGCAATGTTCTGTAACTTGAAAAGAAGTTCAAATTTTATGTTGGACTTAAACAAGAGTAATCCATTTATATCATGTATTTCAGTGGTTGCTTATCCAAGAAATTTAAATTTTTGTTCAACTTTTTTTTTTTACCTGATTCTCAGAGATGAGAGGAAGAAAGGGGCCACATTCTGAATGTCAAATTCAATATCCATCCCATCTGCTGAGAACACCTGTTGTGGCTGAAATCAAAGGGACCACCAGTGTCAGGCGTCAAGGTTCGTGACTTTTTATTTCATGGTATTACTTTACATCATGTGTAATTAAAAAAAATAATTATCATTGCATTTGCTTGGAACCATGATCAAGACAGATGGATAGGTAAAGCTGGACACGTTCCGTTTGCTGCTTACTCCCCAAATATCTGAACAAGTGGGGCTGGGCCAGCCTGAGGCCAGAGACCTGGAGCTCAGTCTAGATCTGCAATGTGGGTGGCAGGATTCAAGCACCTGAGGCATGCTTGCCGCCCAGGGTGACATGAGCAGGAAGCAGGGATCAGAATCAGACACTCTGGTATGGAAAGCAGGTGCCCCTACCCCTGCTTTAAAACACTGTCTAAAATATATCCTTAATTAAAACTGCAAATGGACAAACTTTTATGCACAGGCACAACTGTAATCTTATTTAGATGAAGGTGAATGTGGACTTAGAAAGGTATGCATTGTTCCCTATGATCTTAGTAATACAGATTAAATAAAGACTTCTTGAGTAGAGACTTTGCCTAAAGTTATCTCATTTGACCTAATTTTTCTTTTGACACAATCAAGTAACTACAATGACTAATTTGAGAACCAAGGGTAATTCAGGCATTGATTCATAGCTCCTGTGTTGTGGCTAATTATTTCTATTTAATTGATAAAATCATACCTGCCATCATCACATGTATGTGTATTTGAAACAGTATTTTACATAATTATACCTCTCCCTCACTTTCATTTAATCTCATCATTTACTTGTCACACCGCTGTTTATATTTTTGGTAAAAAGTATAATGGTATTTATCATTTTGCTCTTAAAGCATTATGTTTACAATGGTGTTAGCATTATGCTCTTAAAGCTGTTCATATAATACATATGAAAATTATTCCCTCTAAATGAAAAAATTAGAAATTTGTGTTAGCTAATGACTTCTTGAATGTAGCCTTCTTATGTTGAGACAATTCTTTTTATGATTAATTTGGTCAGAATTTTATCATGAAGGGATGTTGAATTTTATCAAGTTTTCTTTCTGCCTTGTTGGGTGATCATGCTACTTTGTTTTTCACTCTGTTGATGTGATGTATCACAGATATTGATTTATGTTTGCTGAACAGTGCCCGCATCCCTGGAATCTATCCCACTAGATTGTGATGAATTATCTATCAATGTACTCTTCTATTTGTGTGGCTACTACATTGTTTCGGATTTTCACATCTGTGCCATCAAGGATACTGACCTGTAGCTTCCTTTTTTCTTATGTCCTTGTCTAGCTTTGTCATCCGGGTAATTCTGTTCTTCTAGGATGATTTTAGATGAACGCTTTTCTCTTCTAATGTTTAAATAGCTTCAGAAGGAGTGCTGTTAGTTTGGTAGGATTCATCAGTGAAGATAGCCTGACTGGGAGATGATGGGAGATTTTTAAAAATTGGTACTACTGATTCACTTTCACCGCCTGTGTTTGGTCTGTTGTTTATTTCCTCATGATCCAAGCTGAGTAAGCTGTACATGTCAAAAAGTTTGTTCATGTCTTCTAGCTCATCAAACCTGTTGCTGAACAGCTGTTCGTGGTGATTGTCAGCAGTCCACCGTGGTTGTTGCTTTTGTTTCATCACATAGGTTGTAGGATGCTGCTTTTCATTTCAGTATGTTTCAAGATATTTTAAACTATCCCCATGGACTTCTTGCCTGAGCCATTGGTTTATTCAAGAGGATGCTCTGTAATTCACATATATTCTTGTTGTTCACAACATTCTTTTTATGGATTTCTGGACTATTTACATTCTGGTCAGAAAAAACACTCAAGTTGATTTCTATTCTCTCTAATTTGTTGAGCCTCTTTTTTGTGACCTCCCATAGAATCTGTGCTGGGAATGTTCCATGTGCTGTTGGGAGTAACTAGTGATATGATTTTTAATTTTTCTTCCATCATTGGTAAAATTAATAAAGTATTCCAAATAACTTTAAAATATTTTATTTCAAGAAGGTTAAATAAATAAATAAATAAATTTACATCAAGACCATCAATTCAGAACATTGTATGCAAAGTGTGCAAAACAGAATTTTCCTAGTCCAAGGTGTATAAATCTCTTTGGAGTTTGATCATGAAATAATTTATAACACCTGTGAGTCAACTCCTAGAAGATCATATTGCACTACTTATTTCTTTGTTATAGGTGTCTCTGCTCCACTGTTGCTATGGAAGTTAACGGCAGTGTCTTTGAGTCTGGTCTGCCTGGGCCTCCTTTCTTCTGTTGGAATCCTGGCCAAGCGATGTAAGTCTCCATGACAGAAGAAGTGAACTTATTTATTGTTGATCTCTTGAATGTCATGAATGTTTTATCACCATTCTCATTTCCTAGGCATGATTGTGTTTCAGTCCTGGTCTTGGCACCAGGAGATCATCTCCAGAACCACATCAAAGTATTCTGCTCTTATTCTTTAATTCTTGGGATCGTTGCTTTGATCTCATCTACCTGGAATTTTCTATCTTCTTTTTAAAAATTTTTTGGCTCATTTCCTTCTTATTTGTTATTTTAAAAATGTTATCTTAAAAATTATTTTGAAGATTTATTTGAGAGAGGTGGAGAGAAAAGTCTTCTATTTGAATTTTATCCCTCAAATGACTGCAAAGTTCGTGGCTAAGCTGTCATCGTCAGCTTTCCCAGTTGCATCAGCTGGGAGATGGACAGAAAGCAGAGCTCCTGGACCTGAATTGGTTCCTCAAAATGTGATGAATCATTGAAGCTGGCAGCTTAAACCTCTTGAGACACCATGTAGGCCCCCCAATTTTTTTTTTTTATTGTTGCTTACATTGTATTATGTAGTACAGTTTTATAGGCGCTGGGGATTCCCCCCACCCCTCCCATACCCCTCCCCCCATGGTGGATTCCTCCACCTTGTTGCATAACCATAGTTCAAGTTCAGTTGAGATTCATTACTTGCAAACACATGCCTAGCATAAAGTTCAGCGTCTTATTGTCCAGATAAGTTCAGTGGCCTCTTGGGGAGACCTTCTATGGTCTGAAGATAGGTCTAACAGAGTAAAGATCTGGTCAGTTAAAAGCCCCAACAAGGCCTCAGTATCAATATACAACATTATGGAATTAATTGACATAGTATTGGGTAAACAATATGTTAAAAATAATGCAAGTTCCATTCTTCGAAACATCTGGGTTGAGACAGTATCAATGACAGGTTCAAAAAATAACAAACAACCAAACAAAAAATTACAGGTTAAATCAAGGCAAACATGTGGTATCTAATCTTTTGGGATTCGCTCATTTCCCTTAGCATTATAGTTTCCAGCTGTGCCCATTTAGCCACAAAGAACTGCATTTTGTTTTTTTTAATAGCTGAGTAGTATTCCATGGAGTAGATGAACCAAAGCTTTCTTATCCAATCTTCTGCTGATGGGCATTTTGGTTGCTTCCATGTTTTTGCAATTACTGATTGTGCTGCAATGAACAGGATACCATTCAAAATAGCAGAGAGAAGTATGAAGTATTTGGGAATAAATCTAACCAAAAGCGTAGGAGACCTATTCGAAGAAAACTACAAACTATTTAAAAAGGAAATTGAACAAAACCTCAAAAGATGGAATAACATGCCGTGCTCCTGGATAGGCCCCCAAATTTTAAAAATTATTTTTAAATTTGTTGCTCTGAGTAAAGAAACAAGATGGTGGGAGCACACTCCCGTTTGCTGATTCACTTTCCACAGGGCCACTACAGGGAGGTCGGACTGGGCTGACTCCAGGAAATAGGTCCTGCACTTGGGTGCCTCCCATAGGTAGAAGGGTACTAAGTACCCGAGCCATCATCTTCTGAGTTTTATGTGTGTTTATCAGGAAGCTGGACTCAAGAGCTGGACCGAAATGAACCTAATCCCTATGATATGTGATCCTGGCATTTAACTGCGAATCTGAATGCCTGCTCCTATCTGTAGCATCTTTAATTTTACTGCCTGTTATTCTTCACCACATAATTGACCTCACAGAAATCTTCAGAATTTTCCTAAACAGAATAAATTTTTCTGAGGTTATTATGTTAATTTCTACTGTCAATTTTCATGTGAAGCTTGTATTATTATATTGGTTTGCAGATCTTGTCCAGATAATTGCATTGCTTATAAGTCATTGATAATGCTATAGTCTCTTTACAATATTACAAATACCTCCGTTTCATGTCATATCAAGTTTATTTTACTTTAAATGCAATGAAGCAAAGTGATGTTTGTGATTTATTTCTTAGTAGCAGAGAGCAATTCAAGAAATCTCACATTTAGCGAGGAAAGAGATCCAAAAGAATTGATTTCAGGAAATTCAGAGACTCAACAGCCACCAACAAAAGGTAAATGTATTTAAGAATAGCATCAGGAGGATTCGAGGTGTTAGAAAATAACCATTTGTGTGAATGAAAATGTAGATGAGTGAATCAGCAAGTACTGTATATCCACAGTGCATTGTGTAGTATGTTTAGACTAAGTATGTTCCCTAAGAAGCCATGTAAATTTGGAGTTATTGGTAGTGCTGACTTGATAACAACTGTCCTTTTGGTATTCTTTTGCTATCCCATTGTATCTTAGTATTTATATGCATCTTTTAACAATATTTATTTTTTTATTGGAAAGGCAGATCAGATTTACAGAGGGAAGGAGAGACAAAGATCTGCCATCTGCTTGTTCGCTAAGCAAGTGGCTACAATGGTGGAAGCTGAGCTGATCCAAAGCTAGCAGCCAGGAGCTTCCCCAGAGTCTTCCAAACCAGTGCAGAGTCCCAATGCTTTGGCCCATCATCCACAGCTTTAGAAACCACAAAAGGAAGCTATGCATGAATTGGAGCAACTGGGACATGAGCTGGAGCCCATTTGGGATCCTGGTGCTTGCAAGGCAAGGCTTTAGCCATGGAGTTGTCATCTTACTATGATTGAAATGAGTTAGCAGGGAGCCATATCATTTTGTGTGAATATATTTTATCCCTTAGTTTATGTATGGCTTACTTTCCATGCAATTACCACACCAGCAGTTTAAACTAGAAATGCTGTCATAAGGCACCTAGGCATATTCTGATCTTTTCTTTAGCCTCGCGGTGTCAGCCCTGTGATGAGAACTGGCAGCAGCATGGGAAGTACTGCTACTCCTTTTCTAGAAATCTGATTCCATGGAGAGATTGTCAACGCTACTGTTCAGAGTCACGTTCAAGCTTTCTTAAGTTAAACGTGGAAGAAGAGCTGGTAAGGACAAGTGTACGTTTCTTACATTTAGTCATCTTCTCCAGGAGACATTTTTTTTTGAAAAAGACTATATGTCTTTTTTCTAGCTGTTCCCACACAGGGAGCATCATATGCTACTCTGGTGATGCTGTTCTTTTTCATCAGCCCTGCCCGGGTTCGCAGTGAAGGCTCCTAGTCTGAAGCCTTTGTGCAAAATTGATTCTCATCTGAACTCTTGCTTCTCTCCTCAGTCTCCTTCCTTACCAGTGGCTTCCCATCACGTCCAGTTCTGTGTGTTCATTTATGTGTTCCCTAAAGTGTAATTCAGTGTGCTCCAACTGGACTCTTTCCCTCTGATCCTTGACATTTTCTCTGCTAAACCTCGGTTATCATAGAATCAGAACACCTGCACACATTTTGTGATCACCTGGTCTTGTGAGAGTCCTTGACAAGTGCTGCCGTTGGACCCTGCACTTCCCTTTTCAGACATTGCTTAACCATATGCTTTCCTCTTAGATTCTTATTTAACGTGACTATTTACTGACCTTGCATACTCAATATCTAGTATAAGTGCAGAATATGATAAAAACGTTCATAATGGTTGATTAATGAATTAATATGTTTGTAGTTGTTGGTGGGAAACAAATCTTGAGTGCGGTTTTATCACAGTTGATTTTCCAGACAAAATGAAAGTTCTCCATAGCAATGAAGATTTCTCAATCTTTATGTACTCAGCCAATGAATGAATGACATCAGACATATATTTTTTTTCTGTACTTATTGCATCCAGAGGTTTTTAGCAAGATTGTCAAAAAGGGAATGTCATATGAATGAGAAAAACTTGGGGATCAGTTTGTACTTCAATAGCAGCCAAATGAAGTGGGCTTGGCTGGATGGCTCAGCCTTTACGTTGGACAAGTAAGTATGCTCCTAGTATTTTGGAGTACTAATTGTAGGACTGTCATGTTGATTAATTAATGACATATGATGAGATGTAAAATTCTTTGGTCTTGTGGTTCCATGATACAATTAAAAAGAGAAAATAGGATGAGGTGGAAGAGAGTAAAGCAAAATTGTGTTAGCAGCATGCTAAGAAGTTACTCAAGCAATGTCTGATGACATCTTAAGAAGCCTTTGCTGTTCTCTTTATTTTTAATCTTTGTTTATTTCTAATGTTTACAATGTTAGTAACCTAGTATGTACAGAGTATTGTAAAACATAAAAGTGGTTACACTATCAGTAGTTAGGTGATCCAAAACATTGAGGAGCCTTATAAGGTATAAGAGGCTATAAGGAAGGGGTTGAAATTCACAAATAGTGCTTGCTTCGACAGCAGATATACCAAAATTGGAATGAAAGTAACTTTCAGATATTTTTGCAATATCTACCTTACATTTGCCATTTACTATGTTAGTGACTTAGCAGAGAGATATTGTTTTGAGGCTCCCTTCTCTGAGATCTGTTTGCTTGCTTTTGAATGGATCAAATACTCTTATTATATTCCTTTAATACTTAATAAATTGGGAGTAACTTCGCTTGAATGCAATGAAGTGCCAAATAAATTTTAATCTATAATCTAAATTCTTTTCTCTTCCAGGCTTGGATTAAATAAACCTAACAATACGTATAATCAGTGTAAATTTATTAGAAATGCCAGGTTAATTGATGGGAGTTGTGAAGAGCATGTGCATTGTATGTGTAAGAAGACAACCTATGGACATTAAACTTTTAAAGGTTTAAAAATAAAGGAAATGGTGAAAGTTTTCTGAGATAATTTTTTTACTTCATTAAAGAAAGTCAATGATTATGTGGAAACATGTGTCTTTAGAGTGTTAAATCCCATGCAAATTATTCACAACAAACACAACATTAATTTATCTGAAGTTTAATAACCAAAAGATTCAAACATAAGCTATCTTGATAGAGAACCTGACACGAAGAGCAGTAAGCTTGGAAGGATGAAGTTTGAAAACTTTGAAGATTTGGTGCTGTGCTGCAGCTGTTTCAGCACCTGCGTGTCTGCATCCCAATCAGAGTGCCTGGTTCCCATGCTGCTTGCTCTGCCTCTGACTCAGATTGCAGCTGATGCATTTGGGAGACAGCAGGTGGTGGCTGAAGTGGTTGGTTCTGCAGCACTCACATGGGAAATTTGGATGGAGTCCTGTGCTTCTAGCTCCCTGTCTCAGTGCTGGTGATTATGAGTCTTTTGGTGTTGAACCAGCAGATGGACTTTGTCTCTCTCTCTCTCTGTTTGTTTCACTGCTTTTCAAAGAGTATGAAAATAAAAAATAAACAAAAAGTAGAAAGAAATGAAGATGGGGGTCAGTCTGTGATGATTAGAATTTCAAGGATTCCAAAATATTTAAAACCATTCAAATTAAGTCACAATGTCCATGTATGTCAGTTTGAATACTAGTTTTTGATATTTTCTGAATTATCCTCCTCCTCTTCCTCATGAATCTCTCTCTCTATATATATATAGAGTTATGTATATATATATGTATAACTTATATGTATATGTATATATATATATAACTTATAAGGACATTAGCATGCCCATAACCTTTACAGAATGATATTTTTCACATATTTGGCAAGTAGTGGCTTAAAAATGTTAAAACTCAGAAAATGTAAAAGCACTTCTTGGCTTGAAAAGGAACATGGGAGGTGAGAATGAGTATCTTTTTAGACAATACTTAGTAAATGCTTCTCGACTTTTAGGATTGTGTGTTTTGTGTACTTAGTGGTTTGTTTGCAATGTCAATGACAGGAGAAACACCACAATCGTGAAAGAAATGGAAACAAATTAACTTGAGTCTCTGTCAAGTTGGTGTGAGACACTGCTTTCCAATAAAGATAGTTATTTCATGTAATGAAAACAGTGATATTTTCTGCATATGTTGCTTGTTTTGAAAAATTTAAAGGACTTATTTATTGAACTTGAAGTGTTTAGAGAGAGGGAGATTGATCTTCCAGTCTCTGGTTCACTTCCTAAATGGTTGCAACAAGCAGAGCTGGGACATCTGAAGCCCGGAGACTCTTCCAGGTCTCTCGAGTGGATACTGAGGCCCAAGGACCAGGACTGTCCTCCTCTGCTTTCTCAGGCATTGCCTGGAGCTGGACTGGGAAGTGGACCAGCTGGGCTTGGATTGGTGCATAGACTGATGATAAGCCTGTTATGCCATCACATCAGCCTCTTGTTGATAATTTTTAAGTGAAGTCATTAATATATTATTACTGTTATCACTGCCATTATTTCATAATTATTATTGCTTTTGAGCTATATACAATTTTAGATGTTACTCCTGATCAGATATGTGGTATCTACAATTTTGTAGATTCTTTTGTTCAAGATTTGTACTGTGCAGACACTTGTTTTGTGTGTGGTATAATTCTACCTTGCCAATTTTGCATTTGTAATGTATGCTTTTGCTATGACGTTTAAAAATGTTTAAAGACCAACATCAAGAACAAATGGGTAGGTGGGCATTTGATGCATCCTCTGTGTCATATCAGAATGTTCGGGCTCTAGCTTTGGCTCCACTTTAAGTGACAGCTGCTGTTAGTGTAGACTTTTGGAAAGAGCAGGTGAATGGCATAGGCTATTAGTTCCTACTTATCATATGGAAAATGCAGATTGAATTATGGGTTTCTGACTTTGGCTTGGCCCAAGTGAAGCTGTTATGGACAATCATTCCCTCTCTAAAAACTTAAAATAAGTAAATAATTAGAACATTTCTTATCATTAGTGTATATAAAAAAAGGTGCCATGTGGTTTCACAGGTGAGTTAGATACTAAGCCTTTTAAAAAAATACAATTTATTTATTTATTTTTATTGGAAAGTTAGATATACAAGGAGAAAGAGAGCCAGAGAGGAAGATCTTCTGTCCATGGAATCACTCCCCAAGTGGCCACAATGGCCATAGCTTACCTGATCTGAAGCCAGGAGCCAGGAGTCTCCTCCAGGTCTCCCACGAGGGTGCTGGGTCCCAAATCTTTGGACTATCCTCAACAGGCCACAGGCAGGGAGCTGTGTGGGAAACGGGGCCACAGGGACTCCAACCAGTGCCTCTAAGGCATCCCTGCACCTGCAACATGTAGAATCTAGCTGCTAGGCCACCTCACCGGACCCACATACTGAGTTTTCAATAAAGAATTTTGTTGACCTGCCCACCAAAATAGAGCAAGATGTGATGCGTTTTTGAAGGTCATCACTCTGACACTGAAGCCAATGACATCAGTGACAACTCAAAGTCACTGGTGAACATAACCACAAATACACTCGCAGACTGAATTTAACAATATGTTCAAAGTGTAGCTGAAAGAAACGGAATGAAATGTGTTCCTATAATGTCATAGTAGCACACATCAACAAAAGCAGAGACAAACAGAACATGGCGTTCTCAAGAAATGCAGAGAAAATATTTTACAAAATTCATGATAATTCTGAACAGAACATGTGTAAAAGGAGCTTAACAAAATAAAGGCCAAATGTGAAATACCTACAATTAACGTCTAATCTAAGATATTCTCTCTAAATCCAGTACAAGGCAACGGTCATCACGGTCACCATTACTATTCAACAAAGTACTAGAAATCATAGTCTAAAATTTAAGTCAAAAGGAACTTAAAAACTTATTTGTAATAATATTAAATGTGAAATAGGAATAAATTTCATTAGAGAAACAGATAATGACTTGTATGCTGAAAACCACAAAACTTTGATGAAGGAAATTGGAGAACATAGACAAACGGAAAGACATTCGCATGCACGAAGTAAAAGTATTAATGTTGTTAAAATGTTCTTGCTACAAAGTGATCTACAGAGAGAATGTAGCCCCTATCAAAATTTCTATGGCATCTTCACATAAACAGAAAAATAATTCTGAAATTCATCTGGAGCCACTGATGGCAACAAATAGTCATAGCAATCTTGATTAACAATAGCAAGATTGGTTATGTCATAGTTAATAATTTCTAAATATATATCAGAGGTTCAGCAATTAAAACAGGATAACAGTGATGTAAACACTGACCCTGACTTATAGGACCACAGAACAAAAAGATCCCGGAAATGATATCACCTGCATAAAAACCTTATTGTAAGAAAAAAAGGAGAGAGAAAAAACCCCCACAAATAATGAGGAATAGAATGCTTAACAAATACTGTTCAGAAAACTGTATCCAGAAGAAGAAGAAAGTAGGCTCTATGAAATTTATTGCAAAACTCACATTTAAACAGATGAGACTTCAATGAAAGATTTCAGACATTTTAACTACTAGAGGAAAACATACAAAGAATGAAAAAATCCAATTACATTTAAATTCAGAAATTAACTCACACAGAATGAGTCATGTTATTGTTTTGTGCCTATTTTTAGGGGACAAGACACGCTATGTTATTTATTATACTGAATAAATGCAGGACTCTGAGCAAATCTTGGAAAGCTGGCATCATATGGCTTGTTTGTCTCTTGGCATAGATGTTCCTGCTCCATCTTCATGGAAATTTATGGCAGTGATTCTGTGGATTGGTTGCCTGGTGCTGTCTGTGTGTGTTGGAGTCTTAGCCATAAAGTCTATGTCACAATGGAAATAAAGGCCAACTTTTCCAGACCTCACTGGGGGAATGTATTGGGCCTAATGCAATTGTTTATCATGTCAATTTCTTCATCATGTGTAATGCTCTCTGCACAGTACTGGAGATAACTTCCCAGACACATTTTCCAAGTGTATCATGAACCTTACGTAATGACTTGGTGTGTCTTTTTATACTACTTTCACCAGAAAAGTTTTGAAAAAGCATTTGTTTGATCTTTGAGGCCGTTGTTGCTATTTTCCTTTTCCTGTCATCATTTGGTGCGTGATTATCTGTGGTTCTGTGGTCAGTGTCTACATGGACTTGCTGCATGTTTAATTGGATCCTTATGCTTCTGCCTCTCTGAGTTAATCTGAATTCTTTGAGGAAAATTGTTTTTGCTCATTTTTGTGTTTTTAAGTCAGTATAGTGTTAAGTCAGTATAGTCAGTATAGTTGTAATGTGGTTTTTCTCTGTGAATTTAAGCCAGGTCATCCTGGTGTTGGCACAGCAGGCAAGATGACCCTGGCCCAGTCCTGGCTATTGTGGGAATTTGGGAAGTCAATTTGAAGTGGGCAATATCTCTCTCTCATTTCAAAGATACAGCAAACAAATAAATAAATGAAAATAAAATTGGAAGTTTTGGAAGTATCAAATTTTGTAGTATCCTTTCAAAATATAGAAATGCTTTATGTTTCTAAAGTACTTTTATACTGAAATCATTGAAAACTTTTCAATTTGATAGCTTTAAATGTATAATTGAAAAAGTTGCTTTCCTGAAGTTTTGAGAGAAAAAAGCACAAATAGGTCATGTGCAAGCCACCTGTAGTCTGATTTGTCCCTGCTTTTTGAGCTCTCTGCTCTACGTGACTCCACTGCACTGTTGCAAGGGAGGGAAGCCAGGCATTCTTGGAGGCAATGCCTTTATACCATCATGGCTCCCCAATTTTTTATCTATCCATTCTTCACAATTGTTATCTCATCTGTGTAAGTAGATTTTATCTTCTTCAAAACCCTCCTAATTTTCTTCTCGTATTTAATATGTTCTCCATTTTAAGTCTAGAGCTTGTTAGGTCTTTCACAAATATTTTTGGCGTACTAAACCTTTTTAAACTTCCCTGCTCGGTGCAGTGTGGGATTAAGCTTCATTCTTGGACAGAGGCATTCTTCTTCACA